CGACTTGTTTTTTGAAATTCATTTCCAATAACATTTATTTTTTCCATCCTCTAAGGATTTATGACAACATTTTCTATATTAGTGACACGTTTGTGTCAATTACTGGGTATTCATTATTGGTGAGTGTCGATTACTAGTTAGTTAATTAGTTGATTTTTGTTGTTCATTACTGGAGATTTAGAGAAATTCTTGTTTATGTTTTTTTAGTAATAATAATTATAATAGCTTTTTATGAATGATACTACAACACAATCTTTTTTGAGGATTACATCTGTCAAGTAAACTAATCAGAGCGAGTTATTTCAAATTTAAAGACACACTTCGTTTAAAATGTCTATCATTGGTACCATCACCCTATGTACAATTTCGTTACAAAACTTCGCTTACTTTATGTAGCGCGGCAATGTAATTTAAGTCTTATGGTGGCCACAGACCTATCAGCACTACACGTTCCGGCGACCTTACCATATTACAAGATAAAGTGTGCCTTGCGCGATTACACGCAAGATATACTCGTCGTGTTGTTAAATCTGCGGTCTACGCAAGACTAAGTTTAAAATGATGAATAGAATTTGAATTTCGTACATTGTTTATCCACTGCAATAACGACAGAATGTTAGTAATTATTTTTATTAGAGTTCAGACTTAAATATAACTGCGACGATACTTAACTATCTCATATATTGCTACACATATTGCATAAATACTATTTCAGCTATTAAAACATGGATAGTTAAAATTTAACATTGTAACAACAAGTTCTGTGTGTTTAGAGAAACCGTAGGGCGACTTTTGTCTGATATAATTTTTTATCGAATCGTATTTGTGGTATCTTTGGTCAGAGTAGAAAAAACTAAGAATAATTTCCGTTCATAAAAATATACTCATGGTTCCGCTTGGCAGAACGATAAAAGAATACACGTAAAAAGAATAAGATACATAGTGTCGAGATTTAGTACTAAACAACATAGTTAAGAAGTAGCCTTATGGTCTCTCCGAAACATTATGACGGCATGCACCAACAATCTAAGACACCTCAATATTCTACAGAACAACTAGACAACAAACAGTCACTGGTCCGATAGTTTGTCGCTGATATATCTCTTCTATAGATCACATAATATTTGGCAAATCTCTCTGAGCTGTACTATTAGTGTAGTACTCAAGTGTGTTATTTGTGACTACTGTTATTCGCTAAAGTAATCTTCATTTTGAACTAATTACGTACGACCCTACAAATTAATGCTAAATCGACTCTTCATACATATTTAAACTTTTAATTGTATTTAAGTTATTGTTTAAATAAAAGGCTTTGTAAATATTTACATACAATAAGAGAGTACGAAACGTCACTAAGCAATAAGAATTGAATAAAATGTTCAAAATGTAATAAAAAAACCCACAAAGGGACGGACTAGCTAATGGCAAAATATTTCATTGGTGTCATACAAATTCGTAGTCAAAATTTTTATAATAATTTTTTTATGATCTTAAATGTGATCCTAGGCTTTAATGAGCGACAGTAACTATTTTTTTTTAAACCGTTTAAATCTATTTTTGTTTTTGTTAAAACCTCAACATTTTATAGATATTTAAAGAAGGTAATCCAAAAGTGGAATGGTTAAAATTTATGAGTATTAAAATTCCTGTTTAAGAACATGTGAATGATGTTGTTACAGGTATTTAATGATATCACACAACGAACGTGACATTGAGCATGCCTCACAATATCTTATCTACGTACAATTTTGAAACAATAAAAACACGTATTAAGTGATCAAAGAAAGTCTTTGCACCGAGATATAAAACTATATTTGCTCATTCATCAAATCGTCAAATTAGTTTTATCTTTAATGTCATTATAAGCATAATTGAAAAGGCGCGTGACGTACTGAATTGTCATAACGTGATTGACGAAATATTTGAAATCGCAATAACAACAACGCAGATTCGGTTTTTTTGTTAATGTTGTTGGTTTAGCAGTCTACGTCAAGTATCATCAAATCAGTTCACCATCATTTATTTGAGAGTTTAAAAATTGTTATGACCTTTTTACACAGTTTACATGCGATACAAAGAAAGATTCAACTTCATGTACCGGATCTAAAACAAGTATCGCTTATTTTCCAAGTTCAAATACAGTTATACTTCACTAGAGTAAATAAGCTCATAGCCTCCCAAATCAGCACAGAAAATTTTAGGCCAAACATATGTATATAAATTATGGTTCTATTAAGAAGTGAGTATAATGGCGAATTACTGTATTCTCACAACGAATTCAGTGTGTACAACAACGTCTTACATTTTATCACAATAAACCACTTTAGAAATCATTTTAGACCTCAAGGAAAAACTAAAGTAATTGCAATATCTTGAAACGGACTTCGAAACATCGCGGCGCATTTCTCTGTGCATCTTAGAGCATTGAAATGTATAGTTTATCTCAATTTGAATAGCATAAAATATACATTGATAAATTTAATGTCTTCTGCGTTCCCGTCCGCCGATTTGTGCTGGCCCTAAGTTTTCAAAAACGCAAAATAAAGTCAAAACCAACAATTCCTGTACTAAGGTTGAATGGGAGTTCTATGAACACTATTCGTAAGTTTTACCGAGTCGAGAATATATTTTAGCCTAATCTGGCAACATATGGACGAATGAGACGGGAAACATTCCGCGTCGGGTGGTGCCTTCGACCATTCCCTCCATCCAGTTGTCGTCTTCCGTGCGTTCGTTGATTATCAAGATGATCTCTCCCTCGCGGAACGATAGCTCGTCTTCATTGTCTGCCGAACAGTCGTAGAGTGCTCGACACCTCCTCATACTACCCACCTGTAAATTTGTAGGTATAGAAATATATTTACAGTCTGCAGAGATAAAAAGAGCTTAGATAAAAACACGTTTATTATACTCATCCTAGTGTAAGTAAAGTATAAACGGTTAAAATACTCTAACGTTATTGTGATAAACATCGTATATTTATTCTAAAGCTTTCTAATTATAATAAAAAGAACTTTTACCGTGGTGATAAACCTTTCCTTCTTCGTTCGTGATAAATCATTTAGCCTACATATACCTGATCTTCAATATCTAAATTATTAATATTGTATTTTAATCTTTATTTTTCTTGTACAACGAGCAGTTGCTATAATACGGCAGTCTAATTAGAAGGAAAGTTTTGTTAATGTAAATATTCATTCTTTGCGTTTTCTTTTTAATCATTATAATATATTGTAAGTACATGTATAAACCGTTTATTAAAGTACGTACCTATGACAACACTTACCATATTTATTGACACAGATGGCGATCGAGAATGTACGCTAGAAGCATCAGAGACATCCAGTGAACGACTATCACTATGTCGCGTCCGCTCCCGCGATCGTGTACTGTCACACGACAAAGCCGATTGTAGTCGGCTGTCGTCCAGACACGAGTCCGAAATGTCACATAGCTCCAGTGACGAATCTTGACTAGAACATTCCTGTAATTTTAACGAAGCCATTATAGTTTAGGTAACTAATAATAACGCAGCGAGGGGCGCAATAAAAAGCTTGTTTTTGTTGCCTAAATAAGAAGTATCAACGAAAATTGTAAGAGCATAATTGTTAAGTAATACCATTGTCTAATTTGCATCAGCAATTAAGGTAAGAGTGTGTTATTAAACATTAAAAAAAGTATGTCTAAACAAAGCTAGTGCCTAAAAGCATAGTATAATAAGACAAGTGTTGCAACCCCATATAAAAGTGGCAGCGCGGCTTGTGTGCGAGTATGTGTATGTGCATGCCCTCCGCGCGCCGTATACGTACGCACACATTCGCATAATCTCACCGCATACTCGAGTTTCAAAGCGCGTGTCGCACTCGCCATTAATTACAGAATTGGAGCGTTGCTTGGTATTTAAAAAGTGACATCAAATAGTAGATTGTGTATTTTGTATAAACCGTAGTGCCTCAAATTTATAATTATTCAGCGTTTAATTTCTATTTCATAATCATACTCTCATAATCGAGATACCAATTCGCGATGCCTGTATAAAAATATGGATATGTAAGTACTGCTTTAGCCAAAGGTTATTTCAATACAGCACGAGAATATTGGGATGAATTAATGGTGAATTATTTTATTCAATCTGGTTACAAAGTGTAGGAACAACTAAAATAATAATGTGATACTCCTACGCTCCGAACGATGAGTGAGATTGACGCGCCGAATAGGCGGAAGTTGGACTACCGTTTTATTATACTGTGCTAACAGCCCGTAATTTTTAATTATTTTTTTTAATGTAATGTGCATTATAAATGACTTTTCATGAAAAGTCGTTTATAATGGAATAATTTGGTAATAATACGCGATAATTTGGTAATCAACACACAATTGGTGTCGCTACTTATTTAGGAATTTTAATTCAGAAAATGAATTCCTCACTTTATTTATTTCATTGTAGTTGTAATTCCTAAAACCTATTAAATAATTACCAAATATAAAGAATGTAGTTGAATTTGAGGCAAGTTAGCACGGAAAACCAAAGCTGAAAGCTGTTAATAAAAAAAACATGCAATTTAATACAAAGACGGTGTCTGTAAGACGACATACAAGTTAATGCACAATCTATTAACTGTGAAACAGATGTCCAGAGAACAAACAGCGTTTGAATTGATAAGCCAATTATAATAGCGTGTAGACCCCGAAAATGGAAGGAACTAGAATCAATTTTGTTTTTCTCTTGACAAGGAATGGGTGTACAGACAAAACAAATTATTAATAGTAGGAGTAACTCAAACAAGGGTAAGCGATTAAGTACACTAAGTTCTTTAACAGACGGTTACCCTTCTCAGTTTCACTTTCACAGCCTTTTCCAGGTGCAATCTATTTTTCTTCTGAAGCAAAAACAATTAACCCTGTACTAGTTCTTTGTTAGTTGTTAACAGTATTTACAATTTGGGAATACTAGGAGTTATCTCAACCCTTTTCTTAGAAACGCAAATCTAATTACTGTAATTCAGAAAAACCCCATTACTAGTATTTAATTACCCCACAAACCGATGATTAAGGGCCAATAATCTTACTAATCGAAAAGTTAGAAAAACACTACCATTACCATTGAAAGATTTATTTTTAGTGCGTCATTATATGGTTATTAATTAAAAGATTGGACGTAGTTTACCTTTCTCGGCGGCGGCGTCGGCTCGTCCCTGTGATGGGCTCCGTTGTGCAATACGGCCGAGACTGGAGGCGGAGGCGTCGGTGGAGGTTGTTGTGGTCGATTTTTCACTAGTGTCCCCGATACCACTGCAATATAGACATAATTTTTGTTCAAAGTGTAATTATCCTACCCGTCCTCGCGGCTATGAGACTTTTTTACAAACTTATTTTTTTTAGACATATAGTTTACTAGACAGACTCCTTTAGACCATGATGTTTTAAATAATATTGTTGTAAATGATAAACGTGTACAAATGTTTATTTACAAATAGCAACCCCTATAGTTTCTTGCTCATTCTTCTCGTGGGAATTTGTCTTACGAATGAGCAGTAAGTTATATGACGTTTTTAAGTGTAATTTGCTTACGTATGAAATAAAGATTATTTGACCTTTGACTTTGAGAATCTAGTAATAGTAAAAATTTTCGTCCTTCGGGACAAGATAAGGTATGGTGTAGCAGTAGAGCTCCTTGTGAAAGAGTTCGTCGAAGGAAGTACTGCCAAATTACCAATTTCTACTGCCAAGCAGTAATGGAAACGAACATCATTGCGTTCCGGTTTTGAAGAGTAAGGATGTTGGTGAAATTACAGGCACATGGGACTTGTCAAATTGTCTCAAGGTGACTGGCGCAGTGGAAGTGCTCCTCAGATCTTTGCGATTTAAATCTATGAGTGGCATTGCAACTGTTATGGACGGGCTTGTAGCTTACAATCAGGCGAACGACTTGTTTTTCCGTCATTTGATATAAAAAAAACTGGCAGATCTTATATTTTAATTTTTCTTCAATTAAAATTGAGAATAGTAGGAACTAAATGTCAAACTAGAATTACTAACCAACAGGTTTTACTAATCCGAATTTGGTGGGTAGAAAGTAACAGAACATCTTTTATTTACCAGATTTTAAGGCAAACAGGTAACAGTAACAGTAATCAATAGTCGATCTCTTATAGCCAGCGGCATAAAATTGAATTTAAATGTAAAGTATGTCAAGCTTGACTAACTCTTGACCCTTTAAAAACTGATATTAATTTTAAATGTTTTAGTGTGTATTCGTAGATACCATGTAGAGAGCGCGCGCTGTCTGCGGACGGTGAGGGGGTGGAGCGTGGGTGCGGGGGCGGGTGCGGCAACGTCACAGCCGGCGGCAGCGGTGCCGCGCGTTTCTTTAGACTGCCGATGTTATCTGAAAATTGCATTAGTTACTTCATAAACGCATTTACGTTTGTTAATCGCATTCGCTATTATTTACTGTTTACCGCTTTTCTTACTATTTACGCTACGGAACCAAGTAATAAATGAACATGTCCGACAAGCAGGTTATGTTTTTTCTTTCTCGGCCTTTTTCCTAATACTTTGCTTCCTATTTCTGAATTCGGATTATTTAGTCGTAATGGTAAATAAATGTTTAAAGACCTGTCGTTCTATTTCTAACAATACCAAGGTATACTACTCGTACAAGTGCCCCTCAGATCTTTGCGATTTAAAGCTCAGAATGGCAGTGCAACAGTTATTGGACGGGTGTGTAGCTTACCATCAGGCGCACGACTTGTTCGTCCCGTCACTTGAAATTATTAAAAAAAAATTGGTCCGACTGGGAATTGAACCCAAGACTCAGGTTATTTTGAAGATATAGGCATTATGATACCGACCCCTCCCCATCCAGCGCCCACAGAGCGAACTCTTAGGCCACCGGTGTCGTTATATCACGTAGGCGGAGTCTAGCTAAGCTTTGTATACGAATATGGATGATAAGACTTTTAGGCCTTCTTAATACTTACAGACATTAGGCTTCCTCGGCAATGTAGTTGGCGTAGGCGGTGCGTGGTGTAATGAGTCGTAGGTCGATGACCTTGACCTGAGAACCGGAGATTCTCCACCTGTGCGGTCTGCAGTCGGTGGCGGACCTCCCGCGTACGATGGCGGTCGCGACCGAGGGCATTTCTTCTCTGGAGTTACGCTACCGTTTTGCTGCAAAAATTTAAAAATGCTGTGTGAACATAGATAAATAATTTTTTTTTCTTAAATCATATCGATAATCGACGACAAAAGACAAAGATCATTCTCAATTAAGTATACTTTACATTGATAAGGTCTCAGGCTTTGTGAAAAATATTTTAACACGAAACTTAGAACGTCTTTAATCTTAGTTGATGAACAAACTACAAGAATAATCAGTTAAAAATAAATATCACTCAATGCCGATTTCCAAATTGGTTTTATAATTTCGAACTATGTAAAAAAAAATACAATATTATTAATTATTTTAAAATTAGTTTTCAATAATATAATCAGTTCAAAAATGAAATAGTTTATATTATTATGTTGTTCATTATTGAAATAAGTGTAAAATGCAACGCGATTTTAATGTCCACAGTCCAAATCAAAATTAAAAGCGATAATAAGCGGAAATTTTCATAAATAACATACTCATTTGCCCTTTTAATAAATAATATCTACGTCTAGATATATTTCAGTAAAATTATAGTCTGTCTTTTTTGAAGACGGTGTAGAATGACATTTGTAGGGTGCCAGTTTTCATAATTTTTTTAAATAGTTATGTAGTTGTTGTCGATAGTTTACTATTATAGTTTGAGATAGAAACAAGTACAAAAGATGAAGATTAGGAAGTCGAATAGACTGAATTGACAAATAATAAATTTCACTGCTTCCATGGCCAAACAGTTACCATGCCGGATTGCCACGCAGAGGTGCCAGGTTCGATTCCCGAGTCGGGAGAAATGTTTGTATGGCCTACATTTATTTCTCTCGTGACTTTGGGTGTAATTTGTCGTTGTCTATGTGTGTGTCCATGGCACCCGCGACTCAGGGTTACTCTTGCGGGTCTATGTTGAGTGTGTGCGTTATTATTATTATTATTATTAAGTTTTATCAATAGATTGTGAAAGACGATAAAATTTGCCAAAAACGACTGAATTGTGAATGTTACGACGCTGTCTACTAATTGCGTTATTGCCTTCTTTATTTTTATTTTGACAGTTAGCCTACTAGAGTCGATATCAATTTTTATTCATGTGCATTTTAACAAGAATAGCCGGATTTGATTATCTATATTGAATTAAAACAAATAAATTTAAAATATTGTATTACATATCGAACTGAACTGAACTGGCAATCGGTACTATCTCAATTTTGACAACTTTAAAGGATGAAGAAAAAAGTTGTTTGCGTCATTTATATGGCATCTGATTTATTAAATGAAAATACATAGTTTTTAAATATTTTTATTACACATACACTACGTATTTTTATTTAATAAACCAGATGCCATATAAATGACGCAAACAATTTGTTGTGTAAAGTTGTTAAAATTCAGATAGTACTGGTTGCTAGTTCACAGTCGATATGTCCTTTGTATTTTTCATAAACATAGTTCTAAATACAGCGTATGAACTTTCAAAAATTGACTATTCAAAAGAACTTGTGCTCAGTAATTGGATGAATAATGGGTCGAGGATGATTTAAATGAAACAAGTTCCGCTATTTATTCTGTAAGCGTGACCAATATTCAGTCGTTAGTGGATAGAATATTTATTGACTGCAATTACTAGCTACTTACAAGAGGGCAACACTTTTGCGCAATGAACTGTCATTTTTGTCCGTGTTCATAATAGACAGACTATAAGTAATATAGGTAGTTCTACAATAATAATATTAATCGGGTGCAATGAATCTGGTTCACTAACATAAACACTAAAATCTCGAAAACTATGCTAATAATGTATGCCGATTTACATAAAAAGAGATTTTTAAATATGTATTAAAATAAATTTTACAAATAAGTTCTAGAGTGTTGTAAAGTAATTCCATCAAAGAAGCTAAAAACAAATTGTATTTTCTTTATTTAACATTGCTTTCGTTAATTTAAGTAATGCCCATACATGACACTTTTATCAAATGCTCTTTGTAATACGGTAAAGTGTAACTTGAAATATTATCCTTACAATACAGAGTTAAGGTAAACTTTTAATTGATTACTGAAGTACGGTAAGTACGCTCTGATACCATCAACATATATTGCAAGGAACACATGCGATAAATGAAGTATAAAATGTCTCTGTGTAACTTTTAACCGATTATTATCCTTACACAAAAAGAAATAAGGTGCATTTTAAATTAAAGTACTGAATTTAGAATGAAATAGATTAACGAGCAATCATCAACTCGAATAGCTTCGAATTTCGGGATTTTCGAAAATAGTCCGTAGTTTATCGACGTGGAAGGTGCGTTTCTTTTCGACTCGGATGACGATGCGAAGCGCTTTGAAAGTCTTTTACGCTTTTATTGCATTGGTATAAAGGTTTTCTGACCGGCGTACCACATCGATAAGTGTGATGTCTCCTTAATGAAACAACCTCTCATTAGCGATAATTGTTCAACACGTGGGCACTTACCCGCTCGTCGATTACTGTGTCATCGTCCGAGAAATCCGTGGAGCCATCGTCGTGCGACAAATTCCAGTCTATATTGATGTTCTCGAACATGCTTTTTTCTCTCTTGTCTATACTTTCCAACTGAAAACAATCATAGAAATGCATTCAGATCAGGCAATTGGTGAATTGCATGGTCCAAACTAAGGACTTTCCTGTACTATGAGTACCAGAGCAACGGAATTCACTCTGGGGCACTTGCTCGAACACCCAGACCAAAACAATTTACCAAAGTTCTTTTGCCAAATTGGTCCTACCGGGAATCGAGCCCAGGACCTCCGCATCCAGCTCCCACAGTGAAGACCGTTAGGCCAGAAAGATCGTCAAAATATTACTGACTATGAGATATAGCCGCGTGCTGACGTAAATTCATAAAGGACAATATAACCTGTTGTCAGTGACGTGCATCTTTACTGGATTAATCAAGAGCCTAATTGGTTACTACACACATGTGATACTTACAAGTTCCTGACACGCATGGTGCCCCAGTTGCCTCGAAATCTGTAATGCTGTTCTTCCACTATGATCCTTCAGGGAAGTGTCCGCCCCAGCCTTCAGCAATAATTTCATGGGTTCAGTTCTATCTGTCGCAGCACATAGGTGTAACGCTGTCATACCGCTACTTGTAGCTTTATCTAGTAGATGTGAACCACCGTTTTGGACTAGAAAATCGATTATGTGGAGGAATGAACCATCACCTAATTCACGGGATATTGCGAAGTGTAGAGCTGTTTCACCACAGTCCTGGAAGTGTTTAGATGAATAAAGTTATGACTACAATAATTTAATATTGTACGTAAATATTTTTTTTTTACAAAAAATTGAGAATATATCCGTAATTATTAATACAAAGATCGAACACTCAGAAAAAATCCCTTCGATCCGGCCGGATTCGAAGCGACGTCTTCTAGCATATCGTGCCAGACGGTATATCAACTAAGTCACGGAACAATTATAACTTTAAAAAAAAATTTGTTTTCTATAGATAAAAGTTTGAAATCGAATAAATAATCGTGAATAACTGTACTGCAAGCCAACCAATTTGGAAAACTTAATTTACCAAATTGGTCCCACCGGGTATAGAAACCCGTTGGGCCACCGAAGGCATCAAGCGTCAAAATTACGTGGCAAGTACGCGTTCGTATGTGTAAGTGTGAGACTAGACAGAATAAATTGAAGTATTGGGAACAACAAGGGCGTTCGGCACCCAAAGCCCGTTTTGATGTTATTGCATCAAAACATGTAAAACGATATCTAGTATCTTGTGACAAAAACTCATTTTCATCTCCCTTCCGGATAGCGTAATTTCCTTTCATTTAGAAGGTGGCGCTCCGTCCTTGTGGCAAAGATTACAAATGTGCGTTTGAAGTTCGGACACGTTTGTAAAAACATATTTTAATGTAAAAAAGACCAGCTGAAGATGATACTGTCGATTCATTTAAATCCAGCGCAATTTAACGAATGATTAAAAATACGTTTACATTTACTTACTAACATTAACTTTTAAATAAGACTGATTCACAATTTATTTCCTTAGAAACCAATAATAAAACGAACGCCCCATTAATTTACCGGTTTGGTTGGGTTTAGTGCAACAAGGGCGGATAACACAAGGGAAAAAAAATATTTTCAAATGTTTCTAATTGTTTTAAAATTATTTTAAAACGTGAATATTTTAGCTAAATCATAGGATGAATAAATAATAAAGTATACAAGAGTCATATTATAAATATTAAAAAGATATAAGACATTCAAAATTTATTTTAAATTTTCTCGAATCTCACTTTTACGTGATACGCCATTGTTACGCCCAATGCATTGACTTACAGCCCAATGCTTCAATTTATATGTTAATTACTTACAGAGCAAGGTAGAGGAGCAGCCAAATCGGCTCCCTCTGCGAAAGCTTGCAATAGATTCTGTAGATGACCATTGTTGACGGCGTGTTCGACCTCAGACAGGCGCTCAGCCTCGTCGCAGCAGGTCTGTGCAGCCCAAGCCCGGTACACGTACTTCTCGCGAATAAACCTTAGGCGTTCCTCCCTAGCAAAATGTACATAAATATAGGTAAACACTGGTCATGTCTATCACCAGACGATGTTTGTATTGAGCGTTATGTATATCCCTCATAAAGATGAGAGAGAAATATTTAACCATTTGACCAATTTGTCTTTCTAAACGACTTTTTCTATGGCGACTATAGTAAACACTAGAATAAATTTCAATTTCTCATACAAATTAAATTCACGTAAAAAACATTCACTAAATTACATGATAGCTGATTGACATCAAAAGAAAATTAAAATATCTCACATAGTACTCTCTGGGGTGAGCTTATCTCTTTCGTCCAATGTGTTCTCCATAATCTCGTTGAACATCTGATTGCCCATGTGTCTCGCTATTAACAGCTGTGAAGTGCTCAGTCGATCGAGTGTGAGGGATTGTATCCGTGATATATGCACGCCTAATTCCCGATGGCTTCCAGAACATTCTATACACACAATTATACCGAAGTTCGTTGATAACCAAGTGGGATCTGAAACACGAGTCATCATCATAATGTATGATTATTTTTTTCCTTTGTTTTTATTAAATATCATCACAATGAAAGGAACTCCCCATCCTATTAGAGACGTGCACTATTAATGGTCAAGGTTGAAGGGCAGTTCTTCTTTCCGCGCATTACAATTTGAACTCTACATAAAATATGACTTAAAGCATAGCATCGCATATTCCAAAAAAATGTATATTCCATATCTACACTTATTAAGCAAATTTAATTTACAAATATATAGTCAAGTAGTATTCGTATTAAAAACTTGACATTATTAGTAGAAAATATATAATACTCAACTCGTTTAGAAGGTAGGCTTAAATCTAACTGGATATGGCATTGACGAAGGTACAGTTTTGGAAAAAGTTGATTTCTTAGAGACTTACCGTTAGTAGAGCCGCAATCGGCACACACTTGATTGCCCGGCATCGCCTTCACAGCCCTAATGATCGACCGTTGTAGGTCTAACAGCGAATGACCCGAGTCGTTGCTCTCTCCGCCAGCTTGTTGATGAAATGCCCTCATAAGGGCACCTTCTTTACAATTAACTAGGACTGACGTCCACGCTCTTTGCTCGCTTTCGTCGTCCGCTTGGAAATGGTAGGTACGGTTATCTGTAATTATGCATATTGCTATTTAACATTATATAAAATCTTGTTTTGAAATGGTCCAAGAGATATCTCAACTTTTTAGTTTTCGGTTTTATAATGACTATGTCGAAAACAAAGTATTGATTATAATTATTAACACAAAAATTTATACACTTAGAAAAAATTAATACATACATGAGACTAGATCAAATGCCCTCTTGTCTTCTGCAGCCACTTTAATCTGGCATGTTAATAAGTTGACCCGCGCTGGAGTCTTATTCTCGTCTGCGTGAAAGATGTCCAGGAAACCCTCTGCCGTCACACGACATCGTCGTTTCTGCCAGACCCTCCGAACTTTGCCTTCAGACTTTTTGAGTAGATACCCGCTCCTAGAAACTCCGTGCTGTTTGTCACCTTGCAGTTGATGGAGGGAGTACCCTCCGACTGATGCTGACACCTGGAAGATTAATCAATATGTTGAAGCAGTGTCTTTTTAATATTGCTAATACACTTTACCATTATAGATGTGTAAGTAAGGCAATTGCATAGCTCACCTCCTTATCCTGAGGCGCGGCTGCTCTCAACATGTTCCTCAGTTCTAATAACCTCCGCCTTTCGTCGTCCTGCTGTTGTCGTATCTTCTGTAATTGTACACTCAAATCTGCCACGTAAACTCCAAAATGTTCAATTGTTTTCAATCCGTCTTGAAAATAGTTCGTCTGTGCATGGTAGTATTCCACTAGATGCTGTAGCAGCTCAATGCCCTTCTTTGTTTTGATCTCATTGAACTTTATCAGGTACTAAAACAAAATATACATCGCATTTAGCTAAGAACTTGCCACAAATTGTTTTTGTAGCCAACAGCTTTGGCGTTGGTGTAAGAAATCTGTTCTCACTATTTAGAGAATTCACCAAACTGTCTCGTGACAATAGTCAGAAATGGAAAGGAGCCAGTTTCACACACTGTAGCAGACAGAGCGTCGCCGAAAACTGCGCGTGGGCACGTGTCTTATTACTTCATCAGAGCCCGTAACAAATGGAACGAGGCGGGATAGACAAGCCACGCGCTCGAACTGGAAACGCACAAATATTACTGCGTGCCCTTCCGTGAGTTAAAATACTCTTGATGACGCACGGGAACGCGCATTCGCGATATAGTGGATCCCAATTTGTCTGCACAGTTGTGCAATCATAATAAGCAGCGAGTCGCGACCTTGCTCAACGTTCTTGGCTTGTCGCCTGCTAAACACATGCTAAGTACATGTATTGTTTTTGTGTACCGTATAACAAACTAAATCAAAAATGTTTTATTACTTATTTATTATGTTGTGATTGATTAATTACATAATCTTAGTCGTAATACTATGCTCTGTCTTATCTCTAGCCCGTGGAAGACGTAATTTATCATAAGTCAAAGTAGATAGTAAGCTAAGTGAATGCGTGGGTGAAGAGAGGCAGCCGGTGCAGTGGAGGCGTCTAGAGGCGATACTGGCAATATGCACGGCCTGTGCCGCGCCGACTAGTGCTCGACTCGCAGATGAACAAAGCGAGGGTCACGAGCGGCCCTGCGCAGCGCAAGGCCGGTCGACGACCGGACGCGCGCACTGTGTACTGCACTGTCTCCGTAGGGCTTCTGACTTTCTTTTGTTTTTTTTTTATAACACCTACGCCATTTCGCAATTAACAAGCAAGATTGCTTGTGAAAAGTGAACAATATTTAGTAAACAATTTTAGTTGCTACCGTTTGTAAATTACCTTAGCTATCTATTTATAGATTTTTTAATTTATTCAATATTTTCGTTTTAGCGCTTCTTGTCTTGGGTGAGCTCAATTGAAACTTGTTCTAGCATTGTGTTATTTCTTAAAGGTATGTATAAAAAGTAGACATACATATATGATGATTAGAGTAGAGAGAGGAGAGTTTGCTTTAAGCCGAGTAAGGTCGTACGTCTCACTCAATTATGACAAAAATGTACCGTCAGACAAATTTGAAAAACTCCGTTTTTGGACTAAATCTCTATTTTACTCTATATCGGGCAATTAAAGTCCAAGACCCTTTTTAAGTTAAAAGTAAAGCTATAATCATAGATTGTAATATTATTTCTAGTAATTCTGTCATTTGTGTCTACTCAAAAGTTCGATTTATTCCCAGTAGTTCCATGGACTCAGTTGCACATGAAACTTTGGTAACCCAAAAGTTCCATGCATGAAATTAGTGGGAACACATTTAATGTTTTTAATGGCGGTTAGGAGATTTACGAAATTTAAAGCCAACGGTACATATATAGAACGATATTAAATATGGACACATTACAATAAATCATGTTAAAACCTATGTATAGATCATTATTGTGAAATGTTGATGCTTAATCAACAGTACGCAAAGCTAAGCTAATATGCTTTGCAATAGAGTTAAGCTGTGGTTTATCCAATTAAGCACCATGATCAATTAGTTAATCCATCTAACATGCCAGTTCTCTTTGTCTGGATGGATGATTAAATTTATCTTTGAACAAGTCGTTTGAGGAAATAAAATCAGCGAAGCGTGATGTCAAATTATAATCAAGGGGTACGCGGTAGAAATAATAAAACGCACAATGTTGGATGAATAAACAAGAAGAGTATAATGAATTGATATAAAAATAAAACAAAATATATTATATAAACTATAATGCGTCCAGATGACCAATTGCCGGTTAGACTAGAGAATTCCTTGTAGTAAATACTAGAGCTTGTACCTGGGTATTCCACTCCGGGACACTATCCGGGACACCCACACAGTACAAAATTTAGAAAAGTTTTTTTTCCAATTTTTTCTTTTTGTTTTTTTGTAATACTAAGTGATGGGACGAACAAATCGTGTGGCTGGTGGTAAGAGACACGCCTGTCCTTAACAGTTGCAGTGCCACTCAGAGCTTTAAATCACAAAGATCTGAGGGGCACTGCCAAAATACTCCTGGCACCCTGAGACATAAGTTGACAAGTGCCATGTGTCTGTAATTTCACTAGCACACTTTTTTTTTTTTTGACGGGGGGAAAACTTTATGGATACCGCCCCTAGAAACCGGAACGGATTTCTATTGGTCTAACAGGGAATAGAAACCAAGACCTCCTCATCCAAACAATTGGGTCAGCGAGGTCGTCAAGTAAATCACTTTTATATTCGTTGAGAATAAATTCATAAACTCAATGCTTGACATTGTTCGGAAAACTTTGTGCTTATGCTAAAAGGATTTATTATTCCAAAAGAATATCCAAACGCTCTTAAAACGATAAAATAGAATTACGTGTACTTCAGTGAAGATCCCCTTTGTCTGTCAAACTATTTGCCCATGAACCGTACAGTATTGCAATTTGGCAACGGTTTCAGACAACATTCCAAGGTATTTGACAAATATATTTGTTTTACAAGACTGCATACTTATCAAGTACATAGCAATTTCAGATTCAACGCAATGCAATGAATCTATTTGATAGCCACCATTAAGGACATCATATGGGAAATTGGGACAAGCAATTGAGAATTACGCGCAATCGACTGAAGTAAGTATACCAATTTAAAGAACCGTTCGCTGTATAATTCTGACAGAGATATCATTCAAAGCAAATTGTGTGAAAAAATAACTTGCAGTAAATGAAAAATGGGACATTATAAACGGAGTGTATAAAAGACTGCGACAAAGCTGTGTTGAATAGGCACTAGCCAGCCATAACAAGTTGCAGCTCGCATACATTACCGAAATAGCTAACAGTACAGTGTCACTGGCAATGGTTGTATGACCTCTTGTTGCCATAACGGCTGTTGCGGCTACAATAGCATTTAAATCATGGAAACCGTAGTGTTACTCAAACAAAGCCGTTAAACTAACACGTTGTATGTATGTGTGTGTGTGTGTGTGTGTGTGTGTGTGTGTGTGTGTGTGTGTGTGTGTATATAGTAATAATAATACATAATAATAAAAATAATATAACACACATATATATTGTAAGAGAATGCACGTAGTGTTGCGTGACACATTCCTAGACAAATTCTTAAAAATTACATGCACTTGAACATAATTTTATTCAAAAATATATGTTTGTTTAAATAATAACTATAGTGTTTGATTAAAGGCAACAAAAATACAATAATATGTAACAGCGACAATGAATCGACGACGTCGGTGGCCAAACGGTTTGCAAAGGAAGTCCCGGGTTCGATTCCCGGTAGGATCAATATGGGAAATGAGTGAATACCGCTGCTCTGGTACTCATAGTACAGGGAATTCCCTAGTTTGAGACCAGGCAATTGGTGTGGTTGTCCGACACATTATTATATTATTATTAATGACATTTCCACAGACTAAGAAAACATGAATGTTTCGACATAGGACGGTATACAATAAACCAATCCATACGCGTCGCTCTACTAGGCACAAGTCTCACAAAGAGTTTATATCATAATCCCCCACACTGGCCTTCAATGTCTTCGAAAGTGTTATGAGCTTTTCCTATATGTAGGTTTCAAAACGATTTATCATTTCACCATTAAATATTAGAGAATTAGTGAGCTATAATGCGTATAATTTGAGTAAACCCAATGGTACAGGTTCCACGGTAGAAATCGAAACTAGTTCCTAAGATCCATGTCGTAGGTCCTATTTTCCATAATGTAAGCGCTCTCCGAACTTGGCTATCGTTGCTTAATGTGAGCATAACTGTGTTCCGGTTTATATAGCTATAGGCACATGGAATTAAAGTCTCAGGCGGACGGTTGCAGTGGGAGTGCCCTACAGATCTTTGCGATTTAAAACTCTGAGTGGCACTGCAACTGTTATGGGTAGGCGTGTCGCTTACTACCAGACGCACGACTTGTTGGTCTCGTCACTTGTTACCATAAAAAATAAATCAATAACAAGAATACACTAAGGTATTTTTTTACATTGAAGATTAACAGATGAACAAATTAAACGAAAGAAAAAATAATTATATTATCATTTACTACTTTGAACGCAATTAGTAACAACAATACAAGTGTGCTAATTAGAACAAGTAAGTTTACGCGCACGGATACGTCTATTAGGCGTTATCATGCGATCTATTTCTGAAGTGCATTTATTATTGTGTTACACGAATGAGATACGTTCAATTGTTACATTCATACAAATGTCAGATGAGATCGGACGGTTATATAATTCTTGCACACGCCCATGCTTTTATGTCAACAATTGATTAAACTTATTTGCTTAAGATATTGCTCTGTCCAATTGGTACCACATCATACACAATTATGTACATTGTACTGTAAATATTATCATTACTTAACTCATAAAACTTGAATGAATCATTGTTGGATAGTGCAATTCTACGCAACTTTTCAAGTTATACGCTTACAAATAACGATAAAATACGAGTAATCAATTTCTGCCCGAACCAGAGCGACTATTACTTACAATATAAAGTAGCATTTTGTCCTGAGGGGATAAATTTCAAACATATACACTGTACTAATGGGAGCAGCGTATAGGCCTCCAGGCAAGTGCACAGTGAGTTATTAAAGCAGTTAAGGGCTAACAGGTCTCGCCCACGGGGAGTGCTGTACCCACAAATTGCAAACTTGCAATTAATTTCGTCTATCGTAAGTTTAAGCTTCGCTGAAGACCAAAAGCTCTGACTACAAGTGCGCATGTATTTAATCGGTGCATGATAACGTTACAATTGTTTTCATTGAGTACCCTTTTCAAATACCTGCATTTCTTTATTCATACTTCCCGTGTAATACATATATTTTTTTTATAATATAATTACATATATTTTTATGTAACACGTATAGTTAAAAATTAAACATCCAGCACAAACGTATTTTTTTGCAGCGTAATTCACAAAACATAAAATTAAAAAGAAATATTGCACACAAAACAAAATTCAAAGAAAAATAGTTTTTTTTTTCAACTTTACAACACCAACTTAGCTACATTTCAACGACCTTGATGCCATTCCTTATGCCTGTTTAGGTCCTGGTGAAAGTGAAAAGTCTTTTTCTGTTCATTACTAACGGCTCCCAAGATTCGAAGGGAAAAAGAGAATAGGGAACAGAAAAAAATGTATTTTTAAGTGACACTCAGCCTCCCATACTTTCTATACATGCGTGTAAAATAAATTAGTAACTAAGCTTGCTACATTTTGTCTCTGTGATTACTTCGCCATTTACGGCAACCGTCCGTGACGTCCATGACAATTATGACAACAATAATGTGCAAAATAACCACACCAATGACCTGGTCTCGGGAGTTCCCTGTACTATGAGAACCAGAGCAACGAAATTCACTCTGAACACCCAGAAAACTCAAACTAAACATTAAAAAAAGTTAATTTCCCCAAATTGGTCCTACTGAACCCTTGAGCTCCGAGGTTGTGTCGGTTGTAGTAATTGCTGCATTCACGTCACAGTGTCGGTTACTGCAACAGGCATGAATGTTCTACTTCTTTGCTACCTTCGTAATTTTTCGGATTCTTTTATTTATTGTGACTTGATAATGTCCACACACGTAACACAACTTGATTTGGTTTAATTTTTGTATTCGCAACGACTGAATTCAAATTACCACAGGAATGTATTCGTTAATAAGAATATATGTAGATTTTTATTAACAACATATATTATATATAAAACGCAGTTGCAGGAAAATAAGTTTTAAAATGTATTGCTCTCCTTATCCAATAATTGCTCTTCTAATTAGAAATAAATCCTAATGATTTCCTCATAAGCATAATTTATTGCAGGAAAAGCAAGTTTACTATTAGCTTTTGAAGTAAACACTTCACAATATGTGTATCAATGTACGTTTAGTCAACAATAAGGAAAGATAATGGATTGTAAATGGGTACGTAATGTATAATCTTCGTGTAGAGAACATAAACTTACCTCACACATTTGTAACTGAAATAATCTTCTTTCTTTTTCCATTTCATCAGCTATCTCGGCGGGTGTCACTTCGGTTCTGATCAGTCCTGCTTCCTTCGCCTGAGATTTTTTCTCCTTCTCGATCTTCAGGTACTTGGACTCGTAATCTTTGGACGCTTTATCGAATGGCCTCTTTAGATCGCCCTTGACTCCCCGCAAATCACCCTTCAAAAGACTGTCTACGGGGAACATTACTATGTTGTTTATGTTTTGCATCTGTGGACAAAAAAAAATTAAAGTACAAGAAGAAATGCAATGAAGTATTCATGCACTAGTAAATAACGTATCGATTTAAAAGTATAGACTTTATTCACAACAGTCACCGCTTAGACTTTAGATAAATAAGCATAAGTATCTTGCAAAAGATTTGCATTCCGAAAGTGTCGGTGGTTTGCACGTAGTACTTAACCTGCCTAAGGTTACTTCACAAACATTATTCTTATAGACAAACAATTCGCGGTTGCAAGTGCACCTCTCGCGCTGGCGCCAAGTGTTCGTGAACTGAATAGCTGCATCTGTTGAGCAATCTAATGTCTCAGTGCGTTCTTGTATGGCTGAGTGTACTGGCCATGGCATGGAATAAAATGCAATATACTTTAAGCACAGTGGACGTAGTCGTTTGCCGATGCTAATGGTCACATTCATACGCATAATTAAAATTTAAAACCTTCGAAATCCCTAAAATTCACGATAGAGAAACATCTCGCATTCCCACTCAAAGTGATCTAAAATTGAATTGGAGTGGTCAAGTAATCACGGATAATTTATGGCGAGTAGGTTACAAGCTGTAAGATTAGGTCACTGTTTAAGTCGTAAAGTCAAGTGATGATTCTAACAGACAACGCAATTAAAAGAAAGAGGAACAAGTTAGAAAAGGACTTCAGTGTGAAATCAATGGAGTGAATCGACGACAGGCGCCACTCAAGCTAGAGGAACAAAGGGGCACATACAATGAAACCCTTCCTGTACATTGTCGCCAGGCACTGAGCACCCTTCTAATTACATGTCAAGGAAATTGCTGACACCAGACAATCAACGAGACTAATTAACGTAAAATGATACTTGAATATAGTGCAAATTATAGTTTCATGTTGTGTATTTGAATTATTTGGCAGGGACCACTTTGGGAAACTATGCTGTAGAGCGTCCAATAAAATTCAAGTTGTTTAGATTACATTGTGTCACAGGACAAAGTTATTCATCTCTAATATTATATCTACTGACAAGTATGTAGAGGTACGCAGCATATGTATAGGTACAGACTGCAACTTCAAGGAGTCTCTAAACTCTTACAAAAGAAAAAGGTACAAGCTCCACCACTTATTGTGTACACCTAGTTGTTAACGTACTTACAACGATATTAACTAATCTCCCATAGTCAAGTAATAGAAATTATCTTAAGCACAACAATGCACGCGATACTCCCATCGCAACACTCTGTAAACACGCTCGATTACTTGCAAATCGTGTATCTATACAGCGAATTTAATTTGCAACGTGTTTTCGCTTTCCGTCTTCTACGAATACAATGCACTATAAATGCACCAGTGTACCATTACTGAACGTGAAGCATTAAAGAGCGTGAAGCAGCAAATAGCTCTATCAGATACAGTTACTTTTCGATTGTAATTTTTCTTATTTTTTAAGCCTTGCGTAGCTTATCTGACGATTTAATCTATTTCTATATTATTTTCTGATATTGTTACCAAAGTTATTTGAGGGCAATAAACGCAAAAATATTTATCTGATTTATTTATATTACTGAATTGCTCCATAAACAAAAGAGTTTTAGTGAAATAACAACCCATAACAATGAAACAACAATAAAATTTTGACAAATTGAATCACGTACGGCCAAAGCATTTAAATGACATAATTCGCAAAGCAAACCTTTCTGAGTAATGAAATGTTATTGCAACAATGATCATTGTTTCTCTTGAGAGCACGTGCGAGCTTTACGCGCTTCCATTGTATGCAAATTCACACTCGCACGATAAAAAGCTAGTCTTAAAGGTATAATGTTTCCACTTAGTTCTTTAGCCTGAACTATGGCATCGCGAAAAAATTGCAAACAACGCCGTTACGAATTAGCGCTTAGATGGGAAAATGGATTCTTTATCTCGCGTCAGTTAAGGTGGTGGCGCCAGTGTCCGACAAGCTCTAGAGCACATATTACTTAACCCTTAAATGCATATTGTATCAAAAACGAAACGTAACCAGGGTTTGAAATTTTTATGAAATTAATTTCTAATAAGATTTAGGACAACATTTTCTATCATAGTAACACGTTATTTATTGGTAAGGTGAATTACAGAGTGTTTATTATTGGCGAGTGTCGCTTACTGGTTAGTTAATTTGTGGATTTTTGATGTTCAGTATTTGAGATTTGGAGAAATTCTAGTTTAGGTTTTTTTTGATAAATGTAAAAAAACAAAAAGTTATTTTAAATTTAAAGACACACTTCCCTTAACAAATCGATCATAGGTGCCATCACCCTAATAAATTCGGTTTCATCGCTCCCCGGTAGATACATAAATGGGATACAATTTTTTACATTAAATTGGATACCATATATTTCTATAGTTGTGTTGTCCAAGTACTGGTGTTTTGATTAATGTTCGTATTAAGAGTGGTAAGAAAACGCTAGTTATATGATTGGTAAACGCGGTCTTAGCTCGTATGAATTTATTGCCTGACCTAGAAAAGGATATATGGAATGTTTTATGTAAATATGATGAGTTTATTCCAACTTCAGAAGCAGTTTCATCGTTCATCGCTTGACAAAACTTTCTACGATCGGTTCGTATGTGCTGGATTTAGGGTCGAAACACAAAACTGCGAATCGGCGGTATACGAATTCACAAAAGATTAACATCGCAGGAATGCGCGATGCGGAGCAATTCACAAATTCTTGCGATGCGTCGTGTGAGTTCGTAGATTTCTGCGATGCGACGTCGCATCGCAATTGTGTTTTGACCTATACTCTAATATTCTGTACAGAAAATACTTAATTTATTTTTTAATAAGGATTTAAACTGTTGTAGAATGTAAACAGATTCAAGATTGAATTAGGGTGTACATATTGATGACGATAAAGAGTAAAGCTGCTCCAGTCGAGGACTTAAAGAGGAGATACATATTTAATAGCAACTCCGACCTTTAACACATCAATTATTACAAGGAAACTAAAATTATTAACTAAATTGTTGCACTGGGTTGATATCCACGTGTCAGTTAAAGTGGATTAAAACATAGTCGAATAAATACGTTAACAATTGGTTGCATACATCTAGGATATCAAGTTACATAAATTATTTAAGTTCAATTTTTTCTTAATACAGGAACAACAATTTCAAGTCGTTACGCGGAAAAGCGTAAATATTTAGGATATTGGTAAGCTTCATTTTGTGAAAGGACATTTTCAGCTTTGGTTTGAAATTGAAACCTGCAGTTCAAATAAGTGTTGGTTAGGTCCCCTGAAATTGCACAAACGCCGCTGCTTGGTGAGGGGCGGAAGGACAAAGGAGTGCAGCTCGTGTCAAGGGCAGGCCGAGGATTCTGCGCAGTGCAGACCCGACCTCTAACAAGGACCGCCCAAATGGAACGAGGTTGGTATGAGTTCTAACACGTTCCAAATTATAAAGTATTCATTACAAAACAATTTATTTTTACTTGTGTGATAATCACAAGATTATAAAAGGAATAGGGCTGGAAGACTTTTCGTAATAGACAAATTGGCAAATATAGCTCTGAAAATAGATATCAGATTTTTTTAAATTTAATAGATATATTGCAAAGATATTGTTACACGTAAATGCAATTCGTCGCTTAGCACACTGCTCAACACGAAAATCAGTGGATTTTACTTTTATGACCAACACACGCACAAATACTTGATATACAAATAGGGAACGTATTACTAACAATAGCTTAAGCAATCTTGAATACTGTAACACGTATATGCAGTTATTTCCTCCTTTAAACTTACTCGAACTCACTTGAGCAGTGTTTGTTAAACGACGATTTGTTTCTATTTCAGCTCGCGTCTCTGACATATTATTAAAAACAATCTAGTTTGCTATAGACACTGGACACGGTTATTTATTATGCGTACTTCTCCGTACTTGCGAATCGTTTTGTGTTACAAACAATTATCATTAATTAATAATCGCGGGTCCACGCGTTTCCCTTTTTTGTACGAGAATTAAGTGCAACATGTTCCAACAGGGGCAAAAAAGGTAAACATGAATTACGTGTTGTACCATGTACCCCAGATTCATGCTATTCAATACATGAAACGACTTCCTAATTATAAGTATTTCTCTTTTGAATTTACAGCATCTAGATTAGATAGGATAAAAAAGGGTAATCTAGAGAAATAAAATAAATTTACGGAAAACAAAATTAAGTTTAAAATACAGTTTCTAATTCCAAACGGATAGTTCAGAAAAAGGTCAAGAAAATAATATTTAAGAGCTTTTAAATTATCGTAAAAAGCAATAATATGAATCTGACATTCATCTGGAAGCGAACCGTCTCAATGCTTTTACCACCGTATTTTTTTCCCGTTTTCAGGTATTGCTCTTCCACACAGTTTCGAGCTAAGTCTCTTATGAAAAATTTATAAGAGAGGTCTAAGTAAGTAGCCCTGTGGAACGCATATTTTCACCGATGATTGCAGTGATAACTTTCTATACCATACTACAGTGGTGCAACGAACATTAGGCGAAGAAAAACTTTACTTTCTGATATAATGGAGCTTAAATAATCTCATTAAATGAATTCGTATAAAAAGTATGGTTTTAAAGTATTATATTATTCTACATTGTCGAGTATTGAACTTAAGAAAACGGCCATCAAATCACCGCATCGCCACCCTGACCTATTTACAAACAAACTGCTGCTGCGCCTACGCACCTACGTCAATCTGTACGCGTCCTAGATAAAATATTTATGCCTTCATTTCGTATAGTTACACGCACTAAACCTGTTAATGTAATAATGAAAATATTACGGTTAATAGTATATAATATCATACGTAAAATTAATTGAAATTAATAAACATACATATAACAAATAGTAGCCACAATGACTCGTTTAACAAGGGAATAAGGTTTTGTGAAAGTTCCACTTCATTTTACTTTACGTTCAACGTCAACTTATCTACTACAGCCATAAGATGTTTAAGCGATGGAGCAGTTTCCTATCATTATAGCCCATCAACGATAAGGAATCTTTATGTTCTATTATTAGACATTCCAAAACGACGTTAATTCGATTAGTTACATGCCTCCAAATTAATTAGAGCTTGACAATGAATGAATAACGAAACTGTTACGTAACCTACGTCGTAAATGCTTGAGATATTGTACGAAAATCACATTATTTGTACTTAGCTGGGCTGTGAGTGATGGACACTTTCTGCAGCATTTCTGAGAAGTTGTTAACAATGTCACGAATTTTATGAGGTCCATCAGCTCGGATCTTTCCGCAGTAAATCATTATCTATTGTTCGTTACTTTCACTTTGCCGGGTGAGTGGTCCTTGTTTACTTTCCTGTTTCTGAATATTTTTACTTGTGATTAAAAATGCAGTTACGCAAACGACGAAACATGATTTATAACCTCTTTCGTTTCATATTAACTCTTTCGTTTCTTTAATATGTTTTTAACCATAATGCTCGTGTGTTCTACAAATGATCCAAATATGGCCAGCGATATTAAATTTTAAAGAAGCAAACGAAATTATATGTAGAGAATTCAGATTTGTATCTCGTTTGAGTCGGAAATCACCCGCCAGAGATATAGTTTCCGCTCTAGGGTTAGAGCAAATTATACAACTTCTGTCAGAATAAATCCCCGTGGAGATCGTTTCTGTTTGGTTTAGGTATGTTAGCTGTAGTCATGCGTAGTTATTTATATGTTCTAAGAATTAGTATAAATGTTGTATTTATTATTCATCAGCCGTGTAGGAGTACATAAGTAATTTACTAACAGACTTTGTTATGGCTTGTGTATGGAATATAAATGTAATCAATAAAGTTAAGAAGTAGGCAAAAGTAATGAAAAAACACATTCTGAAAATTCTTGGGTTGCTTTCGGGTGTACGCAGACTCTATAATACTATAGGCGAAAATTACTTTAAGCAGTCTCAGACAGTGAGGGTTGCTGGGACTCGCCTCTTTCATTTCACACTCTGTAAATTTGTGTGAGTTGCTTTAATATTTGGCGAATCTCAAATATTGATACCGAATTTTAAAAAAAATATTTCCAAATTTTATGAGAGAATGTCATTGTCCAAATAGTTAAGTAACGTTTATGTGCAACATTTTTACATAGCGTCATTTGATTTCCAGGACAGACTTTAAATACCATGCATGAATGTCGAGCGGTGTCCGCAATAGCAACCATTTCGTGCAAACAAGCCCGAACTGGGCCACGTTCTAGTGCAGCAGTCAACTGTTAAGCTTCTACGAAATAATTTAGCATCGACAGTGGATAAATAGAGTAAAAGAAAATCTATCGTTTCTAGTTCATATAATATTTATTGATCACGCGAAATCCTATTTCGTGCGTATTACTCGGTTTTGTTTCACGAAATACTATTGTTTTTTTTATTAATATAAATAAATACTAAAAGATAATAAAAACAAAAGTCACTGGCACGTTATTGTATATTATGTAAACAACTAAAGACTAAACCAGATTTCAAAATCCTGTGAATTGACCTATTCTAATACGAAACTTAAAATTTGCGATACGCGGAATCATGAATATTGTTCATGAATTCATTTAAGGGGAATTTGCCTTACGTATTGTTTGAACATGATGTTATGACGTGTAGGTTATTTATCCATGAAACAATAAAGTGCTAGGTCTAGCGCTAAGGCTAGTGGTAAGGGGAATTTGCTTTACGTAACATATTATTTGAAGATGATGATATGAGGTGAAGTTTATTTACTCATGAAACAATAAAGCGCTAGACGTAGTACAAACTTAAGGCAAATTCATCTTAAATGAATTTATAAACTATATGATTCAGCGTATCGCAAATTTTATGTTTCGTATTAGAATTCACAGCATTTTGAAATCTGGTTTAGCCTTCAGTTGTTTACATAAAACATAATAATGTGCCACATAATATAGTCATATGTATAGTAAATAGGAAGACAAAAGGATACCAAAGGAAGACAAAACTTACCAGTGTCTTCATAAGTGCTGATAGTTCTTTGGTGACGACGGCGAACTTGAAGAAAGCGGCTCCGATGTCTGGCTCCGAGTCTTTGCTGAGAGCGTTCCCGCCAAGTCGCTCCAGCGCACGGGCGAGGTAAATCTCGTTGTCCACGTGGGCTACAATAACAAAAAGCGATGCTGCTCAGCTATATTTCAATTTATCATAACAATTTTCATTTAGCAAAACATTTTCTATTACCCTGACACTGTTTTCAAGAACAAGAAACCTAAATAGTACTAGTAGCCAGTGCGCGAATATACAATAAACACATGAAAGCAAAAAGTAATTTAAGACCCAGTCACTGATTTCTGTGAACAATATGGGTTGCCCAAGTATATTCTTTATTCGCTTACAATTATATTTAATACAGTTAATGAAGAAAAGAAAAGACAGATGACTAAATTATATCAGAGTTATGCAAGCTTGCCTTTTTTATTCCATAGAATGCATCCGAGATTGACCGATGCTGATATTATCACACGATAATAAGCACATCGACTTGCTAGGAAATGTTCGTATATCTTTTCGATCTCTAGTTCAATATCTTGTCATTCAACACGACACTCATCATCTAAGTGGAACTTTTTATTGAAAGTATAACTGGCTATAACGAACTATGATTTAACAGGTAGTAATATGAAATAGTCTGTCATGATGATGACTAATTTGAATTGTAAGATAGTAATATATGTAAGCTGCAGGTATGCAAATTATTTACGAAGTCAGCTAGTTTTTACTTACTTTGAATAAAGCTACTAAGAGCTCTTACGGAAAAAGCCGGTCATTTAATTAGTTACCTGGATTCACTCGCATCTGTGAGATTTACTGAGATTAATTTAACTGCTGTGCCAGTAATAAGAGTCTTTCGAGATCTTTTAATACCCTTAAAAGATACCTCAACACTTTGACTCTAGTAATACGAGTAGCGACATCTTTAGTACCAGACGGAAGGTACTTTGTTGTATATATTTGTACGATAACGGCTACAAATATGTTGAATAGAGATTTTTACGCAGCGTTGACGTTTTAATGGGATTCAATCGAGATTCAGTCGCAGCCAGTAAACTTTTGCATACGTACTTATTGAGCCTCTGCGGTACCGTAAACGCGCATTCGAGAAACGCGAGTCGTCCGCGCGTAAAAAATACGCCGCGTGTATAGGCTCTTAGTGCTGACTATAAAATGCGCTGCGCTACAAGGAGATTGGAATCAAAACAAAGTATATTCATAGTCATGCCTTTGTTTTTGTGGGTAAATAATAATAAAATATTTTTGTTTGTGATTTTGTTCCTTTTTCTTTTGTGTGTCATTTGTGGTATGTGGTAGTCAAACAAATGTATTTTTTTCTTTCTTTCTTCATCATAACACACACAGATATTAAAGATATATATGCAATTGTACAACCTTCCTCCAATAGTAACAGAAACGGTATTGTTAAATTTCCATCAATTAGAGAAAAAGAGTTTTCTGGAAACGCTTAAATTTTCGACTGAGGTTCTTGCCAATCTTCCTGTTTGTTTGCATTCTGCAGCAGCGTTTTAAAAAGTAAAAATTGATTGCTTTGTTCTCCTGATTTTTTTTTCGAACTCAGCCTCTACGAAAGTGACGGTTAAAAGTTAGTATTGAAAAGAGGCGAGAAAAGGATAAAAGAGGCAGCCACAAAGATCCGTGTCGCGGCCCACATTTGCCTAGCTAAATCCCACCGACGCACTCTGAATATTAAAGGCAGAACAAGCTTCACGCCTTTCAATTTCTCTGTGGAGCTCGTATGCTTACAACTTTGTATGAAGCAAACGAAGTTTTGGACTGACACTGAATAAAATTTGGAAAAATCCTAAAGCAACACGAAGTTTATACGGCCTGAAGTAATACAACATTTAATTAAGTCATGAAATTGAAAAAACACCTGTGGTTCTTGACGAAAATCATATCTACCGTTTAATATAGAGCGTCGATTTTTTGTCTTCCTAATATGTACTGGCAATCATATTATTTTTATTTCGAAGAAAGAAACCCCAACGAGACACGTTTTTAAACTTCTTAAAAATTAAATTATCAACAACTGTTCTTCCCTAAACGGAGCATCATTGTGTAGGAATGTGCACGGGTTTGATTGGTCGTTTTTGCAGGCGCACGCGCACGACCTTGTCGACTGCACGCAATCAGAACCCGCACGACCAGTTCCGAGGCGGCGCGCAGTAAACAAACTTTAGCACGCGATGCACTGCTAAGTTAATAAACCTGGATACCAAGTCCTCACAACGGAAGTCTATATTTCAACAAAATCGTACAGTAATGAACAACTTTAAGACTAAGTTTCTAAACAATGAAAATCACCCATAGTTACATGAATGATAGATAGACAGGTAGATAAACAACGATAAGCCATGCTATATTTATACGTAACATTAATAACAGATTATGTGTACCGACCATTGCACAAAAAAGACAAATAATTTTAGTACATTGTCTACAAGTACTTGCACACAACTTTCAAAGTTAGGAGCATATCAATTATATTAGATATTTCCGTATAGACTACACATCTTACTATCCCATTAATTATTTGACAGAATATCGTGTGTGAACAGAATAAAGAATCTATCATGCAAGTACGAACGGGAGCAGGTGCGAACTCGAATACGAGTGTATAAAACTTCTATCCGAAGCTTGAAACAATGACTACCAGCTGTAAACTTACCTTCTGCGGTGAGCGAAACCAGACATTCGACCCACTTTCCTTGACAACTCGTACAAGGGAAATTCATTTGCTACCGACCAATGGCGACTCGTGGTAACAATATCAACGATTAATTTAATTTTCATCTATAATGATTGAATCAATTACAATCTAATTGGGACAATCCGAATGTACACATACTGATGAATGCCAAAACTGTTTTTCTTGTAAATAAAGGCTCGCCAAAACTTCCACTTATTGTTGGCATCAAGTATCCTCAACGGTTGAACACCGCTTAGCAAATTCCTTTGTATTCATCAATACTTTTCAATTGTTACACTAAGTGATTGGAGTACTAGGGGTGTTTCAGAGCCATGGATAGGACTCCATGATCATGAATATGATTCTGGGATTTTTATCAGACCTTTGCAAGTGATCAATGTACACATTTTTCTTGATGCAACAATATGAATGATGCGGTCTGTCTTATAAACTCTGAAAAACTTGAGTATTTTAGCTTGGATTTACATATGCTGATGTCTTGCTGTTAGACTTAATATATATGAACTTGTGTTCATTACCTCTATTTAAGTAAATAAATAGTTTATTTGTATTTAAACATTTATTTTACTACAACTTCATTTGAATTTTACTCACATTGTTTTCTAATAAAACGTTAAAATTAAGTGAATATTTCTGTTTGAACAGTTTGTTTGGTGTAAATGACACTAAGAAGTTAAAATATTTGATTATGCATTAAAATGTTCTTCTCATTTCTTTTGCAAATTGTGCAGAATGTTGATTTTGGATGATACAAAACTTGTTCCTTTATATACGTTTGTTAATTTTAAAGGTTTTAATTATGATTTTAGGTGAGACACGACTTACTTTGAATCTCTTGGTCGTTTGGAGACGCAAAAAATGTTCAGAGATGGCAAATGTAAAAACTAACAATACAAAAATGGAAATCACCCGGAGTTGAATTATGGCTCAAACTCATCTAGCTTCCAATATTATGTTCCAAGAGTGAGTGTCATGTGACAAGTAAATTTTTTAACATCTAAAGACGTACTGAAGGCACAGTGAACAAGGAAGGTTTAAACGATCTCAGGATTTTTAGTTCCTGGTAAAATGTCTGACAAATCTCAGTTACATCTATCCAATCACGACTCCCCTGTTTCCATGAAATAATCATGAGTTTCGCGATTTGATACAGTTAGTTGAATGGCACAGTTCGTGAGATTTTTTATTTTATTTAGTACGTTCAATAAAATAAACCATAATAAAATATTTGTAATACATAAAATTTTTTTTTTTCACCAAATCAGAGCAGTCTTGGAAAAATATGTCGAATAAATAGGTTAAAAAGTATATTTATCATATAGTAGCAATTTTTTACATGTTCTTTCTGTGTAGCATATCGAAACTATGGTAAGTACAGAGGGCGCACTATAAATTTCCGGAACTGGCCACTTACATAAACAATATTTCAAAAGTTTCGTCTGACTATCACTTGTTTTTACATTGTGGCGTCATTTTAGGAATTGGTTGTCTACGTTACCATGTTTTTAACTCGTGAAAATTTTCGTAGTATGAATCGAGTTCTTAGGTTTTCGCGATTGTTACACATAGGAAATGAAACTATTTTTCCGGATTTAAATCGCGTATATTTGTTTTTTCAAACAAACCGACGTTTCGGGCCCTTTACATCCCTTTACAGTCAACCGTGACCATGGGACCTGTAAAGGGCCCGAAACTTCGGTTTGTTTGAAAAAACAAATATACGCGATTTAAATCCGGAAAAATAGTTACATTTCCTATTTCGTAGTATGATTTTCTACGACTTTAAGTATAATTTAACAGCTCAGCGGAGCTTCGCTCGGCTTCAAACTGCTTTTGGCGATGAAGCACCATGCAGTCTTAATCGTAGTAAATAGTAATTTATAGATGGTTTGCAGAATTCAAACACGGTCATGTGAGTCTCAGTAACGAATTTCGTGATGGTCGCCCGTCCACTGCTGTGAACAAAAAAACATCGATTCTGTGCGCCGTATGATCAAAACAGACAGGCATATGACATACCATGAGATTCGGGCACCTTTAGGCATAGGCATGAGTCAAATACAATCAATACTACACAAATATTAGGGTGTGAAAAAGCTGTGCTCTCGGTGGATCCCACACAATTTGACCGAGGCTCAAAAAACGGATCGCGTCACTTGATGCAATACCATGCTTACCAGATTCAACGAAGGGGCGTCAAATTTGGTGTGGGACATAGTAACAGGTGACGAAACATGAGTTTATAGTTACCATCCCAAAACAGCAGCAATCGAGCGTATGGGTCTTTCGAGATGAGCCGAAACCAACCAAAGTGGCGCGCGTGCAAAGTGCCTCTAAGCGAATGATTGCTTCTTTTTTTATTAAAGCTGGACACGTGGCTACTGTTGCTTTGGAGAATCGTTGTACCGTGAATAGCGATTGGTACATGACCATTTGTCCACACAAACTCCGTAAAAATAACTGTAAACGCCGTATCATCTTGCACCACGATAATGCCAGTTCTCACACGGCCAGACAGACAAATGAATTTTTGAAGGTGAACAACGTTGACCTTATGAGCTATCCCGCGTACAGTCCCGACCTAGCACCTTGTGACTTTTAATTATTTCCAAAAATTAAGAACCAGTTACGCGGTCAACGATTTTCATCACTTGAAGAAGCTGTCGAAGAGTATGAAAAATATGTTTCAGAGATTGTGACGGAGGAGTAGCATAAATGTTTTCAAAATTGGTTCATTCGCATGAAAAAGCATTAACGCTAACGGAGAATATTTTGAGAAACAATAAATTCATTTTTGACCATTTATAGTATTTTTTCTTATTCATTCCGAAAACTTATAGTGCGCTTCACGTATTATAACTAGTTAAGAAAAGTGTATTTGTCAAGTTTTTAGGTTTTTGCGATTGCCACATAATATTGATAATGAAACTATTTTCGGGTGTACATCGCTAAAATATAAAATTGAAATCTAAATATCGGATTAAAATTCAAACGAACCAACGACATTCAGCCGTGCGTGACCATGGGACCTGTAAAAAGCCCGAAGCGTTGGTTTGTTTGGAAAAACAAATATAAGTACGCGATTTAGATCTGAAATAAATATTTTCATTTCCATATTTCGATATAGCGTATTTCGACCAATTGCTTCATAAAAAAATTTATCATATTTATCATAAATTATATTTTGTAACAAAACCATAATGTATAAGGAATATCTTAAATCGATCTTATTTAGTGGTATGTAAAGGAGCCTCACGCTCCGAGATTGTGCAATAATGATTCGTAAAAAAATGATATCCGCATTATATAACCTTACCTATGTCGCAAGTAACAAAAATAGGGCCACTTACTCCAACCACTGGTTTAATATGTATATGAATTGCTTATATTGGAATCTAGACCAAAAATATCCTAATATTGATGTGTAATTCTGCACTCAATTGCGATATTTAGGTCATTCTAGTTCAATGGGTTGAACGGCCTTTCCTAGGGAACCGGTTTTAAATGCACATTGTGTGTAATGTACGGCGAATTCTGTCACATGCAACCATAGTCGATGCATGCAATACACTAATTACTTTGAGGCATGAACCTACATAGAGCCACACAAAGGAAATCAATACCAATTGACATTGTAACCATTATGGAACTTTTTACTAACTTAATTTTAAATCATATAGTACAGTCACGTTTACATACAGCGAAATTGAAATAATTCGATATTTGTGGGCAATATTTTGCATAAATATTCAATAAATAACTACAAAAAATAATGAGTGTGTGCGTTATTTATATTCAATGGGCAAAACATTCAAAAATTTCAACAAACGCTTCAGGAGACTGTTTCAGCCTGTGATTAATCTATCGTGCACGTGACTGTGTAATAAAATGTTTTTGACCACGCTCTAAAAGTCTAAATGAATAAGCTCAATAAAAGGCGATTATAAACCATTATGTCGCGTAACTTGTTCAACATTGAGATCACTATCGGAAAACATTCATATGCACCAGACATCTGAACTGTTCCAGTGCGATCTATTCATATAACTTCCTCCAGTACTATTATTAGTACCGTCTCGTGTCCCCTGAATAATGCGGAACGAAACACGAATACAAACTACTAAAATAACCGGATAAATATGTACACGAAGACAATTCTAGGATTCTGTCCTTCTTTGTAGCTACGATGGGTTTAGAAATGTATTTCTAGTTCTAATTGTCTAAAGGTTTTGCGTGCGTTACAACACTATAATGTCTCACCATCCAATTGTTACGGAACTCTATAGAATGCCATCCCTTTAAAAATTGTATATAAAGCCTTTGAATAATATACTTACCATTGCCAGAATTGTGAATGGCCTTTATGGCTTTCTTCAACTTCGTGAGACCCTCTCTGTCGAAATCCAATGTCTGAAACAAAATTAATTTAAATTAAATACTAATTTTACACATTGAGTTAAACTGTTTTTAATCAAAGTTTATCGGGCAAATTAAAAATAGCTGTTTCTTGTTTGGTAGCCGGGCTCGTTTTTATAAGGCTGACGGCGTCGTAAAGAGTGGTTCACAATAGCACGAGCCATTCAAGGTTCGGGAGTGCACGGAACATCTGTCGCGCCAGCCGGCATTAATCAAGGCCCCCTCGAGTTGAACAACGTTTGTGCAGCCACCTTAACTCGATTGCTGTTTTTAACGTTCGAACGGCCGATACGTCCAAGTGCTAGTTCCCTAATTGATCGTGGTACAGTATCATTATGAGAGACGGGTTTGAAATAGTTCACTTCGTGTCAAGAAACTCTAACAATTAGAGTAAATAACTCTCAAGTATTGTTACGCAACAAAGCCATATGACGCATCTACCTGACTATTATAGCGACTGATATAGTTAGTCTAGTGAATTCAAAATTGGAAAACGTTTCCGTGGAAAAATTCGTGCACACGGGAAGCAGAGACAGACCCACTGCGACACCTGGCAAGCGAAACGCATTCATGCGCCTCGCTCACAAAATCTTGTTTATCTTTTTACTAAACCTATTTATTCTTTAGCAATTTTACTCTAACACGATTTACTCTGAATCAACATATTTAACTTTTTACTTACGTGCTAATAAATCGTGACAAAGGAACAAGACAACTAGTTCGCCCACATGATTATTAACAAGCTGACAATGCCCTCTAAGTATTACAAATTAATAGCAAACAATAACCACTATGCTGCAACAGGTATATAAGACAGTTGAACAATAGATACTAATTCTTTTTCTAAACGTTCAACGCAGCATTCTTGCAACTGGGTCTTAATGTACTGTATATTTTAACCTCCTTAGTCAATTGTGTGTATTTATAAAGATTACCGGAACTTATGTAATATGGATTTGTGGTACAGTTACGTGCATCAATATGTAAGAAAATAAAAAATCGTCTTTCGTGTAAAGTATTATAAAAAAACTTAATATTTTACAAAAAGAAATCCATCTTTTTAATTCTGCTATATTGTCGGAAGTTGTTGGCACAATATATATGCTAGTGATTGTACGTGTACACAGAACGAGCACAATGCATTTTATACAGACAGGGTACGTATAATATGGAGTTGATTCGCTTTCTCGACCTGCAACGAACGAACGACGCATGACGCCTTGCGTAAACCACGTCATGTTACTGTATCAAAATAATTATATACACAATCGTAATCATGACGATGGAACACATTGTTTTACTAAGTGAAATGTAGGAGATTTCATCAAATTTCTATTGATTAGTTTTAAATAAAAAAACAATAGAATGAGAAGAAACTTTAAGTTTGAATAATGCATTAATTTTAAATAAAAATGGTTTGTTTCAAAAAACAAATATACGCGATTTATTTTTGTTTAATATTACTTATTGGTTCACTAACAGTTATTACCTACGATAGTATACAATAAATGAAATGTGGTATAGATTTTCGCTAATTGTACAATTAATTATGACCACAGCTTACAAAAATAAGGTAAAGTGAGAGTCATCACCTTTTGCAAAATTTAATATGACCATGTAGTTATTGCCGAGTTTTATCAACAGATTGTGAAAGGAGATAATATATTGCAAAACTCATGAATTTTATAATGTTCTAATGATTAGGCATTGCATTATCGCCTTATTTCTTCTGATTTTGAGAGTTTGCCCACTATTTCGATACATCTATTCGTGAAGTAGAGGCACGATCTTACTCTTCCAAGACGACGTCAATCTAGTTTTTTTATACAGTTTTTTACGTTTTATGGGCCTTAATTTATATTCGAATTAAACAAATTCGGTCACTTATAACATAAGCATACCAATATAACATATATATATAACCAATATTCTGACATTAATAAGCTGGCAATTCTTTTGCGCTTGAATTTATCATTTTACTACATCTTGTGCGGAGTAACTCTAATAGGTAAATACGTAAACAATTTAATTCACATAATGTCGGTAAACTTTTAGTGTGTACATAATTTAAATATAAATGATAATGTGTAAGATCAAACGATTTCAAGTTACGAAATTGTAGTATTTTAATACACTCAAAACGGTTTGGTTTCTATTATGTATAATATATATGTTATTGTACATAAAAAATGCAGTATTACTCACACGTAAGTAACTGGTAGAATGACGAAAGCAAAAAATTAAAACTTGACTCATACAGGAGTATTTAGTTGGTCGTTGTTTTTCTCAATTTGTGGCAGATGCCTAACTTGTTCAATTAAGACTCAAGGGTAACCCATTTTCAAATTTCATTAAAAGAATATTGCTGTATTGTATAAATATATACCCGTATTCGTTGTTTTTTCCCAAAAGGGGAAAAACTAACGAATAATGTTCTAAATAAATTAATTTCCGAATATATACCATATCACGTGAGAAAATTAAAAGCATCAGAGTAATAACAAATCGATGAAACCTGTTAGCGGAGTAAAAGGACCGAGAGAAACGAGTGTGGTTATAGTTTACCAGTCATCGTATAAATAGTGAAAGCGGTTGACCTTGTAACCTGTAACGGCATCAAACGTACGAGATTGATTGTGTGCACAAAGCTCAAATCCACATGCTGTCTCATTATATTTTGCTTTGACCTCTGAACATTAGAAATAATAAATATTTAACAACGTATTCATAACTCTACTAATTGTAATACACACACCAGTGATCGTTATTAATTCCTAATTGACTTTTACAACAAGTCTTTCTAGCGCGTTGTATAAAACATAATAACAATGCTGTTAGTAACATAGGTAGCCCTTGGAGTCTTGTAACCAATCAGCTTGCCTGGAGGAGACTGATTTATCTTGCTGTTGGATAGGGTCACGATCACATCAAGCTTGACAATTAAGATTTAAATTGAACTCTATGCCGCTTTCTATGAGAACGGTCCAGTGTTAGCTTGATGTGATCTTGGCTGTACAGGTTTTTCTTTGTCTCTGCCTGACAAGTATTTTTAGTTACTGAACAAACAAGGACAGCCCTATAACTTTCTACATTAGTTTTCATTATAGTGACCCTCCCTACCGACCGTTAGGGTATACGAGAAGGGCACTATAACCTGTGCGTGCACAGTAACCTTATTAGTTCAGGTTCTGACCCCAGATCAGTCGGTGTACAGGGTTGTCAGAGATCTCTGTCACTTGACTTCGTTCGGTTCAAGAGAGGCTAGTGCCTCGGGTGACCCGCCCCGGGTGCACGTACAGTACCCTCCCTATTTTCTCACTTCTCTCTTCTCACTCTCACTTCCCGTTGCGCGTTGCACAACTAGCGGTTGCCATCGCTAAGCCGTCGACTTTAAGTCCACTACTAATTCTCCTCATTGGTGGCGAAGCAGTAAGGCACGCTCCAGTACCTACCGAATAACTTAAGCGGCTGGAGGAACTGGAGGATATCTAGCTTATCCTCTACTAGCTCTACGGGCGAGGGCCGGAAGCCCGTTGTACCCTGGTCTTGCCATCGGGCCCGTAGTCTCTCCGGAAACCCGTATCTGTCGGGTCAGTAGATATGGACAACAAGGACGAGGAAACCTTCACATATTTCTTTTTGCAGACTATGAATGTCAAATGCATTACAAATATTCACGAAGGTACTACACTACTGTTTGTTTTCAGCGTGAGGACTAATATAAAAAGCTACAAATATCACGCCAGCTGTGCATTACACATACTGTTTAACACTTCTTATACCGGATCCAAAACAAACATGGCGTGAATCGTAAACAAACTTTACGAGATGTTAAAAAGTACACCGCTGTTTTACTTACTAGCAATAGAAAGTTAATAAAGAGAAAACTTGTATCATATAAATACAAAACACAAACGTATTACGTGTATATAATTATTAGTCATTTGAACCGCTACGATAAAAATGACATTTATCTATTAGGTACAACCCCTTGTCTATCTAAGTCGCTTAACTCCAATTCATACCACCTGTTAATTTACAAGTTTTATTTATTATATTTTGTATCAAATTCGATTACGGATGATTGAAGCTAGTGTTAACTTCCTGTATTTCTAGTCTCTCTATTTTATATCTTTCGGCTACTTGTTTCACTCTTCATGGCTATGATTTTAAGTGGTTTCTTTCTCTCCGGTACGTCCAATTACGTGTATTTAATATTTCTAAACTATTATAACATTTATAGTAACTACGTTATTCGAAATGACCATGAACACCGATCAGGCACACCCACATTGTTAATTAAAAGAGAAAGCTCATTACTAATTATTATACACAACTCTGTAACTACTTTCGCTTTATCAAGAAGAGGAACACATTTGTTATGTTTACAGTCTGATCGTGTTTATCCGGTCGTGAACAAGGTTATACGAATCTAATTAAACGGTACATTTGCTTTGGCTTTTATAATAGCGCGGTTTGTGTAGAATAATAATAATAACGCACACTCAACATAGCCCCGCACTAGGGAAACCCTGTGTCGCGGGTGCCATGGACACACACATACACAACCACAAATTACACCCAAACTCACGAGAGAAATAAATGTAGGTCATACAAATATTTCTCCCGGCCCGGGAATCGAACCTGGGACCTCTGCGTGGCAGTCCGGAGTGGTAACCGTTCGGCCACAGAGGCAGTTAAATAATAGAATAATAATTAAAATCAGAAATTTTGAGCAACGTGACAAATTCAACTCATCAATATTTTTTCATATTTTGTATTCACTATTACGTGAGGCGCACTATAAGTTTCCGGAATGAATAAGAAAAAAATACTATAAATGGTCAGAAATTAATTTATTGTTTCTCAAGATGTTCTCCGTTAGCGTTAATGCACTTTTTCAAGAAACAATTTTGAAAACATATATGCCACTCCTCCGTGATAATCTGTGAAACATATTTTTCGACAGCCTCTTCAGGTAATGAAAATCGTTG